CAGTTTATGAAGTCAGCGCACTGAGAATCAAATATGAAATGCAACAAATTCAAATTCTCTTCAATGCTCGATTTGGAAATCTAAGTATGACATTAAACTTTTTTTAGTTTTTATGGTTTCAAAGCCAAGACATTAAAAAAATGAGAGAAAATGATCAGGCCGGGAGACCTCAGTTAGGTGTTTGTGTTTTGTTTGCAAGAGCTAAGATCATTGATGAAGTTGACAGAAGATTTGTTGACGTTATTAATTTAATGCTTCCTTCCGATGAAAAACTGATCACGAAACTGATCACGAAATCCACATTGAAATGGAAATTGCTCATGTGGGGTTTCTCACAGCACTTTTTCAGATCTTAATACAGGAAATTACCATGTCATTATATTAAAGATCTTATAGAAATCGTATTTTTTCCAGCGTTAATTTACTGAATATTAGAAAACGTGTTTCATACCACTGTATCTTTCTTGTTTGACCAAATGTATGATAAATAAGAATTCTCAAGAAATGGTTAATAAACTGAAACATGGTTTAACGTAGGATACATTTGAACAGTCGGAATAGAGAGCGTGCGAAAATTCGAACACTCATTTAGATGGCATATCCCTAATTTTTCCTGATTATCAATACAAAGAAGTGCAAGGATTACAACAAAGGAGGCTGAGTTGATTATATTTTACGTGGTGTAGTAGTCGATGCTACACAAACATGTTATGTCTACCCAATAACATTTAAATATCATTTGCAGGTTCGTACCTGGTGCTAACAAGAATATCGTCCACTTCTTTTAGCTTTCGTGAAGTGGCGTCAGTCGAGTCATAAACACAGTAAATACTGAGGATATTCAGTCACCATAATTGTGAGGATATTCCCCGGAACGCTAGGTGACTATTATAGTGACGAGTCTGTAATTTCATTTTTAGATAATGCTATTTAAACAAACAACTACTTACGGGCTAAGCAATTTTTTTGAATTCGCCTCTAACCGAATAATCTCTAATTGGTTCTTCAAATGACAAATCTAGCATTAAATTGCGCGAACAATTCGCGATTTTGAAAGTTGAAAACAAGGTGTCCTCAGTGAGTTTTGTAATTATTAATGTCCCATTCAACACTACCTCTGCAACACAATTGAATTGACACAAAAACTGTACATGCCCGATGCTCAAGTTGTCAGGTAATGTGCAAGTTTTCCACCTGCAAATTGAGTCGTATCTACATTCACTAGCCTGCGCGGAGATTTCTCAAGAAATTTCATGTTTCTTTTAGTTTTCGCCGTACTCAAATTGCGGATAACTCGTCCGAGGATTGCGAAATGCAAGCGTGATGTGTTCAATATATTTGCGCATTCCAAGCAAATGTCTAATGCTACCAACAATTTCAAATCTGAAACAGATTATTTACCGCTAGAGTACCTCGTTACCTGAAGCGAGAGTCAAAGGCACTATTATTCCATGAAAAACTTCTCGAGCTCACAGGTTTAGCAGGGTCTCCAGTTTGTCCTTGAAAGAAGACGAATGTATTATTAATATCCCACCAGCTATTTGGAACAAAAGGAAGAATCCAGAAGACTCGCCATTGGCTAGTATAAAACAGCCCTCCTTGAAACGAAAACACTAACTAATAATCGCTGTTGTACAGTCATTGTTTTAGTGTCGAAAACTCGACGTGACAGTTCCGTAAGTCCAAAATTGATTAACGCGTCAGTTCATCTAAACCTATGCCAAATGCATTAACAGTAGAAATTAAAGGAATATTGAATTATTTCCAAACACTACACGTTCCGTAATTAGGTTATATAACACTTTCTTTCTTTGATTAAAAAAGGCGCCGCACAAAAATCCCCGATTCTGAATGAGAGAATAAACAATGTTTAGGGTGTGTCCTTTAATGACCTTTGATAGAAATCTCTTAATTAAGACAAAGAGCTTAAGTGATTAAACTAGCACCTTCGTTGGTGGTAAAAACAAAAATAAATTGAAGCGCTTTTACATGTGTATCTGCTTTCGAATGTTTATTATATGAAATTTTATTGATTAACCGACTGAATGTTTTAAGGCGCAGTTTGCTTTGGATTCTAGCGAAGAGAAACGCACATTAAATTTCAAACAAGTTCTTCACTGAAGTACGTGTGTTTAAGTAATCATGTGATTTGTTTTCATTTGCATATTTTCCCTTATTTTGATATGCATCTCAGAGGGAGAAATTGTTTCAAGCTGTGAAACCATCATAACTGACACGCTACCTTCCGCAATTGATTCTCGAGAATTCTTACAATTATATCTAAACCTCGACTTTCGACAGAAATAAGAAATTCTATTTTTGATAGTGTTTGATATGCTCATGTTATTTTTTCCCTCAAAAAAAGTCTCTCAGCTGCGTTAAAGCGACTTCTATCTGCCTAAATTAATTTCCAGGATTATAACTGTGTTAATCTTTGCTTCTAATACATTTTTAATGGCATAAAAATCCACTTTGAGTGTTAGTATTAACCTCACTAAATGCAAGATTGTAGCTATATCCTTGGTTTGCAACCACGTGACAAGGCGGCCATGTTGGTGGTCAATACAATAGAAATTTTTCTCGAAAAAAATAGAAAAAATAGTTTAGTTCCCAGAGGAGAGAATTGCTTTTGACCATGACTACCAACATGGCCGCCGTGACGTCACCTGCAAACCAGCAATAGGGATTTTGAATGAACAAAACCATTTAAGGTGCTCTCAAATTCAAGGCCGAGTTGTTCACTTGAATGCGGGGTTAACGTACAATCTTTTGGTTGGGGCATTGCAAGTAGCTGGTTGAATTACAAATACAACGTCAAAACCAGCTATTAGCCCTTATCTGGCCAGAAAACAAGTACTCATTTCTGTAACCCGTTTCAGGCGTTTAAGTAGTAATTTGCGGACAAAAAATTATTTATAAAAAACCGAAGGAAAAGACGAGGGGAGACTGGAGCAAAGATAAAAAGGGGACGGAACGCCGTTCCCTCTCCCCTGGGTCGAATTTTTCTTTAGTTCTCAACTGTTCTGACATCGACGCAGGTTGGTTACAGAGGAATATAGAGCTATTTGTGATCTTTATTTTTTTTATTCTACTCTAAGTTTATACTTCACATGGAAAAAATAACGATATTGACTGCAATTCAAATGGCTGTTAGGCGCTGAACCTGCAGAAGGACTGGCTTCGGTGAGGAATTTTTCCTTGTGACTTTGCTTTTTGATATCAGGCTTGGCGTTGGAGGCAGACTGTGTGTTGGGTTACCATATGCTTGACCTGAGGTGACATAAAAGAAGCTCAATAATTAAGAGTTACTGGCGTTAACTGGGCAACAAACAAACGACCCAAGTCTGTTTCTAGTCATACTACATTATGGGAAGAAAACTCAAAACAGCGCTAGAAGGAACTTTGAACGAAATGACAACTGGCCTTCGTCTCCTATCTTTTTAAACAGTCTGTTCTAGATTGAATGGTGATTTAAACGATATTTGTCATGATTTAAATATCAGTTTCTTATGACGGTGAAGGTTCCCTAATATGAATTTGACCCTAAGTGTTTATTTAGACCAAGGGACCGGTCATTATTTATCGTCTGGGGAGGCGGGGCGGGGGACGGAGGATGTTAGGGGGCATCACTTGATTTTTGGGGAAACAAAAGGGGGATCAGTCGTAACTGAGAACCCAAAAGGGGGCATCGCTGAAAACTTTGGAAAGATTCAGACGGAGGACCACTCAAATTTGCCCTGAAAATGAAGGCATTGGGGGGGGGGGGGCCCCGAAAGTAACCAAAAGTTATCAGGGGGGTTCACTTCGGGGAGGTAACGTCCAAGGGGGGGTCGGGCAAAATTTCCCCTTCTTAAGCCCCAAACCCCCCGCCCCCCCCCCCCCCCCCCGCGCAAAAAAACCCCCGTCCCAACAACGCCTCTTCCCACTCTCAACCTAGCTGAGGGGAAAGAGAGACGAGGATAGCGCGGTGTGTGGCTGCGGATAGAGGGGGTTTGTGGTTACTGTTGGTGGGTGTAGAGGGAGAGAACAGGGGAGTGTGGGGGGAGTAGAGGGGGGGGGGGGGGGGGGGGGGTTGCCGCGAAGGGCAGCAGAGGGTATGGGGGGGGATCACTTCAGTGAAGTAACGTTCAAAGGGGGGATCGGCTAAATTTCGCCTTGTTTAGCCCCAAATCCTCCGACGCCCCCCCCCCGCGATAAATAATGACCGGTCCCTAACGCATGTCTTGCTCCATGTAACTGAATCCAGATTCCTGGATCCGTTAAATTTTTGCTTGTGGAATCCGGAATCCTGGACTTTGGAAATCCGGAATACAACTCAAGGAATCCGGAATCCCACTAAGGATTGGAATCCAAAATCCAACTTTCACTGACAAAGAATCTGAAATCCACTTCCTGGAATCCAGAATCCAAGACTGTCTGGAATTCGTTGCATGGGGCGACAATGTTACGAGCGTCGATTTCACATCCCGGGAAAACCGTAAAGACCAGAAACATTTCTGGAATGTTATTGTGTTGCAAGAAAAAAGCCAATCAGGCGTGAGAAAACTGAACCGCAAGCAAGAACGTTAATTAGTTTATGGTTTTGTGACTAGTTCGCGCGTCCTGATCTTTGGTGTGATTGGTCATAACACTATAAACATTCCTGATGTATTTCAAGTGTGCACGGTTTTCCCAGTCGCACTGTAAATGGCTGACCCTACTTTTCATCATTTCTCACATGAGTAAATGCCTGTTTACGCGGAGGTGGGGGAACCCAGGTAGGTGAGTTAACCTGCTTAGATAGGGAGACCCGCCTGTCCATATATTCTCTCATTTTATTTGATCACGTTTACATGATAGGTGGGGTGCCCGCCACATGTTACCTCAACTATCTGGGGCCCCACACCTCCATGTAAACAGGCACTAACTCATTACCTGACCGACGTTTTATTTCAAAAAATCAATTACAGAATATATTTCCGTGAACCTTCTTGAGCGCAAATTGAATAACGCGTTAAATCGCGTGACTCACCGCTACAATCCTCGATGCTGCAGGATATATTGAAGTCCAAAGATTTTGTCCTCGACCTCAGCCTGGAGTTGCCTCTGATGTTCTTTTCAGGTTTAAATACCGCAATGTACACTTTAGGCATGAAAATAAAAATCAAAATAGTAGTTGCGCTAATTACAGCACTAAAGGCGAGGGCTACTGCTTCAAACCCTCCACCGATTCCATAATAAACAGGCACGAAAGCAATCCATATGACGCAGGTTGTGTACATACAGAAACCGATGAACTTTGCCTCGTTAAAATTCAACGGCGTTTTTCGAGTTCTAAATGCATAAAACGTGCATAGCACAATTAAAACGGAGTTGTATCCAAATAAAGCCACCACACCAACAATGTGTATGTTGCACTTGACAAGTATGAAGTCCTTGTACTTGAAAGAAGATACGGGACCAGGAGGACGGATTAAGAGACCTGTTATTATCATGGCGAGCTGTGGTGCAATTATTACAGCGGTTATGAAAAGCTGAGACTTCGGACTGATAAAAGATGGAGTTTTCACACCGCTGAATATTCGAGCGATTCTGTTGGTGCGGACGAGCAGGGAAGCATAGCAAACACTAAAACAAAGTCCCATTCCAAGTCTCTGAATCGCGCACACGACTTTACTTGGATAGGAGACCATGACAAACGCGAAACTATAGCATAAAAACAATCCAATGAAGAGCACAATCGAGAGTTCATGCCCCGAAGCTTTTATGAGTGGCGTGTCAGCGAATTTAATGAAAACTCCGCATACCAGGGAAGTGGCAATGATGCCAAGAGACGCAAGAGAGACGACGATTGCGATCCACACACTACGGAGGTGTTCTCTGTTTAGTGGTTCACAGCCGTTAAAAGTGGCATTAGGGTGCATGCCTTGGACACATGTCTGACACGTGAACTCGTTGGCTACGTACGAGTCATCGTCACACTTTTCACATGTCCAACAACAGCGTGTATCGCGTATGCGCTTTATAGCTTGTGGACCGCAAGGCTTACCGCATTGCGATTCAATGTAATCTTTCCCCTGCAAAATGCCACTAGGGACAAACGTCAGCTTTCCTTCAATCCAGCTGGCTAACCTCTTGTAGGGATTTTTGCGCGCGTTTCTGTAAACGTAAATGTCATACTTTCCAGCACTGTCACCATTAGCATCAAACTTTACCAGCCCTGTTGTTCCATTAAAAGGAATATTCCGTAGGTACCACAGCAGCGCCGTGCGATCCAGTTTTTTCATTTCGGGGCAAACACCAGAGGCTTCTCCACAGACGTTTCTGTGTAGATTGTGGAGCGCATGAGCAAACGATAAAACCGCATCGATGACAAACGGCACCTTAGCGTCAAACCTCTGAAGGACTGAAGCCTGGTTTTCTGAGTTGTTGCATCGGTAAGACGGAGACGATTCGTTTCCAAATTTGCAATCGAAACGCTTCTCCCAGTACTCTTTAAACCAAGGGTTTCGCGAATTATTTAGTGGGGTTAGTTTCGAAAAATAATCATAGAATGGTTCTAGCTGTCTATCGAAGGTTTGAATCTCAATAGTGATTGCACCATCCGCAATGTCTTCTAAGCCTTCCACGTGACCAAGTCTTGTCCCCCAAAAATCGCTCGCCAACCACGCAAACGGTTTTTTGATGCCTCGGTTTTCCGCTCTTTTGGCAGCTTGAAGCATTGAACGCAGATCTTCGGAATTACAAAACATCACCACAACTCGAATGCCTTCTTCCTTACGAAATCTGTCTATCAATTTATCGTATTCTGCCTCGGTGAAGTCTGGTTCCAGAAGACGATGGTCCGCAATGCACACGTTAAGCTGCTCACAAAACTCCTGAAAAATCAACATACCCTGTTCACCGTAGCTACCACGTGAATAAACTGCGAAAACCGCTGTCCAATTCATATGACGGATGATGTCTACCATGGCACGGGCTTGAAAAGAATCTGGTGGAACCGTGCGAACAAAGTACTCAAATCTGTCTTTGTCACTTAATTCGGCGCTTGTTGCAGCATAGCTAACTTGTGGAACATCGAAGAGTCGGAGGAGAGTAGCAACCTAGAAAATAAGGAAAATTGTGTGGGAGGTTCTTAAGATTTCTTTCCGTAAATCTCCTACCAAAAAACAAAAATATTATTTTACGCAGCCAAACTTAACAATGACGTCTTAGAACTTTGGGTGCCTCTCTAACACCGTTCTTCTGTTCCCAGAGTAAGATTTTCACTGCCGTAATAGTGGCCATGAACAAAAGTCAAGATACGTAACTATATGCATGACTGCAAAATGATACCAAGCAAAATAACAGATCTTTTCACTGTCGTCGGCTTAGTACCCTACCCTTCGAGTGAAAGTGAAATCGAATGTAAGGCTGACCTTGTTTTGGTACAAACCTCCTATATTTTTTTATAGAAAGCATTTTTAAAAAATACTAGTTAGCATACATGTACATCAGAAGAAAACAGGAAGGTCTGTGTCACAACAAGGTCAACTCCAGCATCGTTTCCACGCATCTATAACTGTAAAATGGGGTGTTTCCGAAAAGTTTCATTAGATCAGTTATGCCACAGGATTTCATCGACAGACTCAAAATTTAGTTAGAACTATTGTTAGATAAATAGTACCATGTGAAAGTACAGCTGAAGAGGTTTCATTTAAATGGTAACACCATAGGATTTCATCTACAGAGTGANTAGCATACATGTACATCAGAAGAAAACAGGAAGGTCTGTGTCACAACAAGGTCAACTCCAGCATCGTTTCCACGCATCTATAACTGTAAAATGGGGTGTTTCCGAAAAGTTTCATTAGATCAGTTATGCCAAAGGATTTCATCGACAGACTCAAAATTTAGTTAGAACTATTGTTAGATAAATAGTACCATGTGAAAGTACTGCGGAAGAGGTTTCATTTAAATGTTAACACCATAGGATTTCATCTACGGACTCAAAAGTTAGAACCACATACTAAATAAATAGTACCATGTGAAAGTACTGCTGAAGAGATTTCATTTGAATGGTCACACCATAGGATTTCATCCACAGACTCAAAAGTTCGAACTACATACTAAATAAATAGTACCATGTGAAAGTACTGCTAAAGAGTTTCATTTCAACGGTCACGTCATAGAGTTCATCCAAGGCATATCTCAATTTAAATCAAGAAGTTTACAAAAAGAGTTTTAATGTCCATTTCTTAGAGTACATAGAGTCTGCCAACATACATGTGACACTGACCTGAATGGTTGTGGTGCTAAAGGATGGCCCAACCACCCCTCCCAGGACAGCCCTTCTTTGCAGCTTAAAGGAGCTATCTGACAAGCTGCATATTTGTTCGTTATTTGCCAGAGTACCCACAAAGAACTTCAAACATTGTTCCAAAGCTGTGTTCACTGTTCCACAGTCATCACGAATTTCTACCCCCAGAGTGATGTTTGGAAGGAGATGGCTGTTGTTGTTCACCTAGTGAAAAAGTAGTTTTTTTTTTAATCTTTGATTTATTTATTTTAACAAACAACAAATTAAATACACGTAAAAAGTGACAAAAGAAAGAAAAACCACACACACACTAAAAAAAAACAAAACAAAACAAACAAACAAAAAAATCACACACATCGAGAAGCAAACAAAGCATTAATTGAGAGGAGAGCAGCAGGCTAAAAGCAAATAGCGAAGTTAATACATACAAAGAAGGTTGCATTCGATCTAAAAACCTGAAAATATGACTGACTGAACTTAAAGGCTAGCTGTGAAAAAAGCCTGGTTCTCTTGTGCCGCCGATGCACCTGCGACATTGCCCCAAAACTGCGTGGGATGCTGTTTCAATATGTGAACAGCAGTGGTCGGCAACATTGGTGATCCCAGTCTTTACCGCCGGCATGCCTGCGAAGTTGACTCGAGATCAACTTCGCCGGCATGCCGGCGGTAAAAGCCCAGGCGGTACCGGAGGCTATGTCGCAGATTCATTGGCAGCATATGACAACCAGCCTTGAGGGGGATATGTCACATGGCATGGATATGTGAATTCTGTGCTGAACTCATCACTCAGTCACTCCTTTACCCATACACAAAACACTCCTGTTGAGTTATGACGAAGATATCAAAGAAATTTCATCAGGGAACACTGGCCATCATTTTTTTCGGTAATATTTGCAGTCATAGGTCGAAAACTTAAAAAGTTGACCTAACTTTTTCATGTTTCAATCCATGTCCATCCTTGCCCCCCGTCGCAACAGAGGACAGCAAACAGTTTCAATGCCTCAATATAATCTTAAATAACAAAACTGGACCATTATTTTTGGCATTCAATTGATGCGAATAAAGTTTAGCTACTGAAAAAAAGGAAGCAAATAGAGTGACTTAATTTGCCCCTTCAAACGGGCCAAAATATCGGTGATTTCAAAACATCATCAATCACTACCGTAAAGGAATATGAGAAATCAGAGTTCATTTATTTACATAGCATACATGTACATCAGAAGAAAACAGGAAGGTCTGTGTCACAACAAGGTCAACTCCAGCATCGTTTCCACGCATCTATAACTGTAAAATGGGGTGTTTCCGAAAAGTTTCATTAGATCAGTTATGCCACAGGATTTCATCGACAGACTCAAAATTTAGTTAGAACTATTGTTAGATAAATAGTACCATGTGAAAGTACAGCTGAAGAGGTTTCATTTAAATGGTAACACCATAGGATTTCATCTACAGAGTGACTCAAAAGTTAGAACCACATACTAAATAAATAGTACCATGAGAAAGTACTGCTGAAGAGGTTTCATTTGAATGGTAACACCATAGGATTTCATCCACAGACTCAAAAGTTCGAACTACATACTAAATAAATAGTACCATGAGAAAGTACTGCTGAAGAGGTTTCATTTGAATGGTAACACCATAGGATTTCATCTACAGACTCAAAAGTTAGAACCACATACTAAATAAATAGTACCATGTGAAAGTACTGCTGAAGAGATTTCATTTGAATGGTAACACCATAGGATTTCATCCACAGACTCAAAAGTTCGAACTACATACTAAATAAATAGTACCATGTGAAAGTACTGCTAAAGAGTTTCATTTCAACGGTCACGTCACAGAGTTTCATCCACATGTTAAAATCATAACCAAGGCATATCTCAATTTAAATCAAGAAGTTTACAAAAAGAGTTTTAATAACCATTTCTTAGATTACATAGAGTCTGCCAACATACATGTGATACTGACCTGAATGGTTGTGGTGCTAAAGGATGGCCCAACCACCCCTCCCAGGACAGCCCTTCTTTGCACCCTAAAGGAGCTATCTGACAAGCTGCATATTTGTTCGTTATTTGCCAGAGTACCCACAAAGAAGTTCAAACATTGTTCCAAAGCTGTGTTCACTGTTCCACAGTCATCACGAATTTCTACTCCCAGAGTGATATTTGGAAGGAGATGGCTGTTGTTGTTCACCTAGTGAAAAAGAAGTTTTTTTTAATCTTTGATTTATTTATTTTAACAAACAACAAATTAAATACAAGTAAAAAGAGACAAAAGAAAGAAAAACCACACACACAAAAAAACAAAACAAAAAAATCACACACATCGAGAAGCAAACAAAGCATTAATTGAGAGGAGAGCAGCAGGCTAAAAGCAAATAGCGAAGTTAATACATACAAAGAACGTTGCATTCGATCTAAAAACCTGAAAATATGACTGACTGAACTTAAAGGCTAGCTGTGAAAAAAGCCTGGTTCTCTTATGCCGCCGATGCACGTGCGACATTGCCCCCCAAAACTGCGTGGGATGCTGTTCCAATATGTGAACAGCAGTGGTCGGCAACATTGGTGATCCCAGTCTTTACCGCCGGCATGCCTGCGAAGTTGACTCGAGATCAACTTCGCAGGCATGCCGGCGGTAAAAGCTCTGTGATGGCTGTAGCTGCCGGCGGCGCATGTTCTCATTCGTCCGAGAAGTAGCCCAGGCGGTACCGGAGGCTATGTCGCAGATTCATTGGCGGCATATGACAACCAGCCTTAAGGGGGCTATGTCACATGGCATGGATATGTGAATTCTGTGCTAAACTCATCACTCAGTCACTCCTTTACCCATACACAAAACACTCCTGTTGAGTTATAAAGAAGATATCAAAGAGATTTCATCAGGGAACACTGTACTGGCCATCATTTTTTTGGTAATATTTGCAGTCATAGGTCGAAAACTTAAAAAGTTGACCCAACTTTTTCATGTTTCAATCCATGTCCATCCTTGCCCCCCGTCGCAATAGAGGACAGCAAACAGTTTCAATGCCTCAATATAATCTTAAATAACAAAACTGGACCATTATTTTTGCCATTCAATTGATGCGAATAAAGTTTAGCTACTAAAAAAAAGGAAGCAAATAGAGTGACTTAATTTGCCCCTTCAAACGGGCCAAAATATCGGTGATTTCAAAACATCATCAATCACTACCGTAAAGGAATATGAGAAATCAGAGTTCATTTATTTACTTTTTAAAACTTAAGTTTACATTTCTCCGTGGCGTAACCCGGGTTAAGCGCTGATCGGCCTTCGAAAAACTGCGCCCTGTAGAACATCTATTGCGCCAGGCTATTGAGTAAAGTTCTTTTTACACGCCCGAAGCAATCTGGCCAGTGTCTCCTCAAATAACAAGCACTTGAGACGAACCATACGATATCACGCTGATCACTTTTCATCCAGCTTTTCGACTTGTTGTAGGTCTGGCTGACTTTCATTTCCACATATCCTGAAAATTGCACGCATGACCAGTACGCACTGACCTCACCGACACTTTGAGCTCTAAGGCTTTTTACCTCACCCCAACAACGCATAATTTATTACAAGCGGTAGAGTGATCAAACAAAAAATTTGTAGGCCCGGGCCTACAGGTCTATGGGCTGGCTGCGCCCCTGTTTCTTCAAAAAACTTAATTTAAAGTTATCGAAAACATAAACCTCTCGCCGCTCCACCCCCGCCCCACTTAAGTTGGTCACAAGTGCTCTTCAGTGACTCTTTTTACTTCATCTAATCTCGTTTTCTTTGCAATATTAACTAGTAAGGTGTGAAGGAGGATTTGAAGGAGTATTTACAATCGTCCTTAAAGGTGGATTTCAACTCTCGCCTAATCTTCACGTGCGTACGCATGTAGATTTTGCGCGCTTGAGTTGAAAATAGAGGCAATGTATAGAAGGTTACGCGTAAACGTAAAAGTTGAACCTCGCTTAACCTAATTAAGTTTACGCGCGGCTTTTCGTAAATCGCCTGTATTTTATTTACGCTTATAGGGCTCGTAAAAATTGCACGACGAGGAAATTCACCCCAAATGAGATTCTCTTCCCAAACCATTGATTTGCGCTTGTTTTTAAAACTGCCGTCCGTTTATTAATTCCCTCGCACAATTGATGTGCGACCTGCCAAAACCTATCGTATTATTATATCAATTCGGTTAAAAAAAATCAAAAGTTGTCTGTTATAAAAAA